CCTACGGTTTCTAACGAGGCTTCCCACAGTCTAAATAAAATTATGGAACTCATTAAGTTGAGTTTAGTCAATTCATTTAGACTAAGTGAATTTGATAGAAAATAATAGTACTGAAATGAGGGAACCGTAGGATCATAATCAGTTTCGCTCTAATCAACTTTAACATGCCCCCATAAATTTCTTAAAGAACTACAACCATAGGGCCATCTGATTTGACATCATAACTTGACCACTAGAAAACTTAAACTCGCTATGATGAGGAGCTTGGAGCTAGCATGGTGGGCAGCACAACTATTTTCAACAGCAAAACATGTCTTCCCCAACTAAATCATTCCTTCCTCAAAATTAAACAACCAAAGCCATAGGACTTCGAGGTCGTTAGGACTTCGAGGTCAAACCCTCACCTTATCTTTAGGCCTTTGTACAGCTCTGTTGTACAATATAAGCCCTAACTCGTCTTAGGATTCTGAGGTTTTCGTTCGTCACGACCTAAATCCTCACATCTTTCAGGTTATTTGTGTGATTGTTTCACACAAATGTAAGCCCTAAATAATAAAATTGGCAGGATGAAATATTCAAATAATTTCTCGTCTAAACTGAAGCCAAACAATATGATAGGTTGGGAAGTCACCGAGGTCCTCCACAAGATCTATGACATCCCCTAGTTCTCCCTCTTTTGAATTCTACAATAAAATGTTCTAAATTTGAGTTATTCCCATTTCACACCTCTTTGTCTGATTTTGTTGAAAAGTCATATTCTTTTGAATTCCTTGAAGATAATATTTCCTGATTTTTATCAAGAGTTTTCTTAGGTGACTTCGGCTATTCTTAGGTGACTTCGGCTATCTAAGATGAAGTTAACTATAGGAGCTTGCCCTTATAGGAAGTTTTTCCGAACCCAGCTTAATATAATAGGGGAATTTGTCGACAAATACAACGGTTTCGCAGACCAAACGGATGTCATATAACGGATGTCATATATTTCTTAATCATATATTTCTTAATTTATTTGATCGACCCTCATCCTCAAGTCTTGTGTTTATCCCTCGAGATAGATACCGAGTTTGAGGTACAGTGCCCTTTCATTTGAACTATGAAAAATATGGGATCCGTTTGATTTCTTATTTTTCTAAACTTATATACATATGTAAATTAAAATGTCCTTCCGAAGCGAGCGACGAGATTTCGATTCCGGTGACCGACAGCTTCCAACGGGCAACTCCTCCAACCAAAATAGTGTCGACATACATGGAATGTAATTTTAGTAGTAGTAGCTCTAGTGACAAAAGTGAAACTTTGGGTGATTAAATTATTACAAGGTGTGAACGATTTAGATATCTTGGGTCAGTTGTTCAAAGTAATGGTGATATAGACGGGGATGTTAATAATAGAATTCAAGTTAGCTGAAGTGGAGGAATGCTTCGGGCCTTTTGTGTGATAGTAAAGTAACGCTTAGACTGAAAGGAAAATCTTATAAGATGGTGGTGAGATTTGCACTCTTCTATGGCGCTGATTGTTGGCATTTAAAAGAGAAGCATAATACTAAGTTAAATGTTGCCGAGATGAGAATGATTAGGTAGATGAGTGGCTTTACAGTAAGAGACAAAATGCAAAATGAATTTATCAGTGATAGGGTTGATGTAGCTTCTGTGACGGACAATATTTGAGAAAGTTGTCTTTGATGTTTTGGCCACATTAAACGTCAACCACCTGATGATCAGATTAGTAGAGTAAATGTTTTAGATTCGACATTTGTTAAGAAAGGAAGAGGTAGACCTCCGAAGACTCGGGCTTATTGTATTAAAAATGATCTTTATTTATTAGAACTAAATGAAATTACGACACTAAATAGGATGCAATGGAGAAAAAGAATTCATTTAGCCGACCACAGGTAGTGGGATTAAGGCTTTTTGTTGTTGTTGTTGTTGTGGACATAATTGATTTGGTATCACGATTTTTTCTATGGGACTTCGACATACATAACACTCAATTCCTATGTATTTACATATCGAACACCCAAATTTTATTTTTTTATACTTATACCATCAAAATTTTTCATATCACATAAAAAATATTGTCATTTTAACACTTAAAAAGTGAAATGCATCTTTAACGTACGGATGAGATGGTGTGTTTAGAAATCAAAGTTTAGGTGCTCGATATGGGAATACATAGCATGCAATTAAGACATGAAACTATCACGAATTATCTAGCATGCAATTATAAAAATTAGAGTTTGTGAAATAATTATATATTTAAAAGAAAACTTAAGGTATCATTGTGGAAAAAAGGACTAAATTTGTGATTATACAATGAACTAGATTTAGGATAAAAAGTAAAAAAACAGAATGTTGTTACAACAGGAATTTTGTCTCAAAAAGCCTAATTTTGCCCAAAATTGAACACACATGCATACCACCCAAATCATATCTAACACCTAAACCATACTTTTTATATCTTTACCGCTGAGAACATTCATATCACAGAAAATGTACCATAATTTTAACTTTAACCAATAAAATAAACCTTTTCTTGAAAGGTTAAAAATGGAAGTTTAGGTGTTAAATATGTAAATACATAAGAATTGAGAGGTATATGCATGTTAATATTCCTAAATTGAATTGTTGTTGAAGTGGAAGAGCTAGAAATTATAATAAATTGACACAGGATTGTTTGAAATAACTCAAAATTACTAGCATATTACAAGTATGATTATTTTTATGTCTGCAAATTCTTAATTATTTTAAAAGAAATAAATGAAAAACATAGAGCAACATAGAGTCGAGCCGCAAATGAGATATAAGCCAGTATCTAACTGATAATTACAAGTTTACAACTAATCACTCGGACATATGCTAATGAACATATTTTAAAAACCAAAATAAGATACTACGAAACAATCAAAACTAAAAAGCTTTAGGCGAGCGGCCGAGAAAAACGGAGAATGAAAATTCAAAGTTGTCAACGTTCAAAATGAGGGAAGAAAAAAATGCACATTTGATATGATAAATTAATCAAAGTACCAAATTAAATAAATAAAATAAACAATAAAATTGGACAAAAATCTGCTCTTTTCAATGCTTTCAAACTGAAAATACAAACGCATTACAGTAGTAATCACAAAGAAAACAAACATCTTATCCAACATTCACTAATTTGTATGATCATGAAAAATGAAGCCCGCTGCCATTCATGTCCCGAACGTCCCCATCCACCACCTCGACAGCCGACCTCGACAGCCGCTACGGCGGCAGGATCCACACCGGCACCAACATCTTCGTCCCCGCAGATTCGATCGAGCACAATGACTAGCCCCATGACAAAGGCGGCGTCAACCCGAGGCCGGAGGGAGAGACAAAACACGTCTCTTCCCAGAATCACATGAGCACATGGATCCACCTTCCTCTTTATCTCGGCAACCACCTCCCCCTCCTCCTCCCCTTCCCCCTCCCCCGCATAAATCACCCTATAATGGTGTTAGTGAGTCGAATACCAAAAAACTGAGTTAGAATCTCTGAAAAGATTTGTTCAAGCTCAAGAAATACCAAGGGGTGTTTGGCTTCGCCTTCAAATATGATTTAGTAAATTCTGGTAAAATTAAATTTATATTGACCGAGATGATGATGAACATAATGCTCACAATACAACAGAATAAATTTATAAATCCGCCTCACAATCATATTTAATGAATTCAGATTTAAAACTGAATGCGGAAAGAATAGATCTACAGCGAAAAAAATTCAGTTTGACGGAACAGTTCGGTTAAATTTTCATTTTATTCTTTTGATGTATAGCTGATTTACGTTAGATTCATGACTGAATCCTATGCTACCAAACACCCCTAAACATTACCTGCAGCACCGCGCGGCGAACGAACCCTCGACCCGGTAATCGGTCACCCCTTCGCCAGCCCCGCTTCCGCCGTGCACCTCCACCGTCACTCCGGCGCGATCACCCCCGAAGATAGAGGACCGCCGCACGGTAAACAGAGGTTTCTGCCCTTCTGCTCGCTCCCCTAGAAAACCCTCCCACCGATTGTGAAGGCTTGGCCGCTGCATCAAAATCAAATTTTTAACAAAAGCAGAGAGTCAAACCGGCCCTAACTTGATCATTTTGAAGCCTATATCGAAAAAAATAGATCCATGAGGAAAAGATAGATCGGAGCTTGCCTTTCGTCGGAGTGTGATGATTGAAGTTCCGACGGGATCCATGAGGACGAGCTCGTCGATGACGACACCGGGGCCTCGTGCGTAGGTGTCGACGCGGAAGACTAGAACTCCTGTGTGGTGATCGTAGGCAGCGAATCCGTCGCCGGAGAAGAAGACGGAGGTTTTCCTCACCGTGAGCTCGCGCTCTTCGTTGTCACAGTACTGTTTCCCAACAATCACCTTGCCCCCTTTGATTCCAGCTGCTTCCATCGCCGCCGTGATCCGAGCGCTCAACCTTTCCCTTGTTTTCCCGATCGAGTAGAAGCGCTTTGGTTTTGAAGTTGGATAGGAGAAAGGCGGAAACCGTGGCTTGTATTTATCTCCAATAAATAAATAAAAGTTGTGCATGTTGTTCTGGTTTCTGAGATTCCAAGCGATGATATTGTTGGCCAGCGAGTCCTGTTAGTAAAAGCTTCGAAAATAATTGTCGGGGGGATCGAAATTTTGCTTATATTAAAAAAATATATAATTTTCTTAAAATCAAATCATGAAAGTGTAGGCTTGTTCTCTTGGGTTCTTTTTTTTACCTACCGAGGATATTTGTTTGTACTTTCCCTAAATGTTTCGGGATTATTTTGGTGGATCATATTTCAGTTTTTTAAATCTCTTTTTATGGTTTCTTTTCAAGATGCTTTCTTTTATGACTAATTTTTTTAATTGTTTATTTGCGATTTATTCGGACGTTGGAGAACTCTTTGTGCTTTCAAAATTAGTCCAGGAAAAGTTTTAATTTCCTTGAAAAAAAAATGATATATAGCTGAAAAAATAATGTGAGTCGGGCCATAACAAACTGACGTCGAAGTTGCGCAAGCAAAGATATCTCCATAGACCAGCCATCACATTTAGTCGCATGGCCACCCTTCAACAGGCCACCCCAACATTAGTTGGTCGTCCTCATTCGATAGGCCGCCATATTTTAGTCACATGGCCGACCAGTCACTCGACCACCCTATTATTAGCTGACAGGCCTCACTCGATCGACCATTATATTTCAGCCGCCCGACATCCTTTAGTCGGACAATTCCCCCTGAACAAGCCTTCGCCCGCAGACCTCGTTCGGCTTGCTACTTATTACAATCGCCCAACTATCTCTTCTCCGACAAGCATCCCTCGGCCAACCCTGAGTCGGCCGGCCATTTCCTCAACCAAACGGTGATCTTCACAACCTCGTTTGTATGACCATTTAACTTAAAACCAATTTATGTATACACCACCGTCTTCTTGTTTTTTTCAATACTAGCGGACCTTTATTGATAAATGTGCACAAAATATAAAATATTCCTTAAATTTATGTAGATAATTTACAAAGTAGTATAAACAATGTAATAGTTATAGAATAAGAACAGAACTCAGAACAAGGCAAACAAAGGTGTAGTCATAAAAAAATTTCACGCAATCTGACAACCAAGGAAAAGAAGATTAAAATAAACATGTATTGCCCTCCTTAATTTAAAGGCGCTATTGTAATGTTTCCCATTTTTCTTATGTAAGTATGAGAATCTACAACATGTAAAGGGGGGCTCTCCCCTTGGTTCATCCCTACACTTTCTCTCAGCCCCATGTAGGGAGATCTCTCTCCTCCCTTTCTGTTTTTTCTCCCTCAATCACCATGTTCTATCCCTTGGGCATGAACCTAAGGACAAATTTGAGTTCAACGCCTTCAAAGGTTCGGTTAGTGTAGAGCATGCCAATAACAAGAAGATGAGCAAACAAAGTGAAAGAAATATTTAAGCAGAGAAGCAAAAGAAAATGATGAAGAAGAAGAACAGAGCAATTTTGCAAAAAGCAAAGAGGTAACATAAAAATGACAAAGTAAGAAGTAAAAGGCCAAAAAAGAAAAAAGACAAACTTTCTCTTTCTCTAGTTAGTTCTCATTACAGAAAAAAGAAAAATTAAAAAAGAAAAACAAAAATACATATTTATCTTCTTGAGTAAAACAACTTTCTTTTCCTTCATCTTAAGCTTCTCCTCTGGAATGGAAAACAAAACTTCCCCTCCAAGACGACAAAAATGAAGCCTCTCCTTTAAGACGAGTGATGCACAGTTTGTTGTGTGTTGCTTTTGTAAATATTTTTCAATATTACAAAATACGCACGACAACACAAATAATAAATATGCAATTCAATCCCAATAAAAAAAACTTTATTAAAAATAATTTTATCTTTTAAAATCTTTAAGCTACCAAACTTGTAATAATAACACAAGTATACGTTTCGCTTAAGTAACAAAGGACTTTAATGCAGTCCTAAGTATCGATCCCACATGGAGTTGGAAATTCTTATGGCTACAATGTAAAACACAAAATTCAAACTACCAAACTTGAGAATGAAATTCAAATCTAAATTTTTTGAGTGTATGTTAGATAAAATGCAATTAAATGAACTCAGTTAACTAAACTATTTGCTAAACTTCAAAATTAAACTTATACAAACTAAACAATTTTTTTGTGACAAAGAGTTCAAATTTAAGAAAGCATCCTTCCCATTTACAATGAGTATATAGATTGTGAATAAATTAAAATTATGTATATATATATATATATATTTATTGATTAAAAGTGCATCTCATGGCTCCTTACGCGTTAATCATTGAAAATGATACAAAATTGGGGTGGGATAGTGGATCCTCATCTAGAAACAAAACAAAAACATGAAATCCTAGGGGTTCCACTATCTGCATTACAACATCACGCAAAAAACAAAAAAATACATGTGAAAACCCAAAAAGTATACCAGCAAAAGTATACCCAAAACGTACATGTATACCAAACCCCAAGACTAAAAAGAAGGTGAACATATTTAAAAAGGAAAAGGCTAATTCCCAAATGACTCCAACGGTTTTCTGTTGACAGCATCCAAGCCTCCCAAGTCTAACAGCCATGTGAAAGAAAGTAAGGAAATCGGTCAATGGGCATAGTCACTCCAACTTTCAAAAATTATGCAATGAAACTCCCTACTAGAATAAAAGGAAAAACACAAATAGAAAGGGAGAAGCGTTATACGCCTTTAGCATGTGACCACATCGATAAACCTTCCAGCCACCCAAGAAATGAATTGCCCATAGAACCTTAAATTTAAAAGACGAACCAACCAAATGTGCAAGAATGAACAGCAATTTAATCCAATATTGTGAGTCCATCATCAACCAATTCAAAGGACTGTTGTAAGCGTAGCCCCCATGACAACAGTAAAATGTATCAATTAAAGTAAAAAGGGCCACAACAATAATAATATTCTTGCCTTTAGTACGGTCCCACGTAACTACAAACAAAATCAGAGCATAAATCATCAGTATACTATGCCCAAACTGCCTACCCGCAGACACCCCAAGTGGCCAAGAATAACTATGAAAACCAATGAAGCTTGGATTTTCAGTATCAAACCAAATTACCAAATTCAAGTTGAATTCTAAACTGCTTTTCATATAATGCAGTAGCCAATGAATAAAGCCATTATTACCCTTCCGAATTCCAGGCCTTAAGTACTCCCAAGATAAATTAAAAGCATAGAAACCTTTTAATGAAAGAAAGGTTCATGTAAAACCTCCCCAAGCTCAACCTCCTTCCAACCTTCCAACAAGAACCATTCAAACCAATAATGCAATGTAGAAAAGGCCCTAAAAAAAGTGAAGTAAAATAATAACAAAGCCCCCAGCAAAGTAGCACAGTAGCAACCCCCAGCATAGAAGCACAAGAACAAACCTCCCCATGCATTAGCCGTGCAACAAATAATAAGCCAATCTAAATCAGTAAGCTTCCAACTGTTAAAATGAATCAACATAAGAGCAATAGGGGCTTCATAACAGTAAATAGTGTGATGTATTAGGCCACTCGTGAACGCCAAATTTCCAACCATCAAAGTAAGTATCTTTGGTCCTGCAAACACGAATTAAGACATACTCAAAACAGTCAATATAAAGCACATGTGTATAGGTATTAGTCATATACAAATGGCCAAGAGTGTGCCTATTAGACCAAAACCAGCATATAAATCCAGCAAAGCTCGTCAACAGATGGCTAATGGTGTGCCTAATATCCTATATCCAACTTAGAAAATCAGCGAAGCCCTCCCACGTAATCCCAAAATCGAGAGACCAACTCCCAAAATAAAGATAATAAAAGCAAGAAGACTTTCCAAACTGCGAATAGCATGTTAGGCCCATATAAGTCCAAAACCGAGCACCATTCTCCCAATATTTAGTAAGTGAAAACAAAAAACCTCCCTGCGTAAAACCCCAGAAAAGAAGGCGAGAGATAGATTTGAGAACCATCATCAGAAAATGCAGAAAAATGCTTTCCGCTAAGATCGAATCCAGCGCCAAACACAAACAGAAAGCCAAATGAGGGGGAAACATCTCAAAAACGAACAAAAGGGGCCTCCGGATCAATTTTAATAATTTTATGTAAGAAAGAGGGAGGGGTGTTTCCAACAATAGCATTTTGCACCCTCGATTTGGCCACCCAATCCACAAATTGATTCTCTTCTCTGTAAGTAAAATAAAATGAAATATTTTATTGATGGCTGTCAATGATGAAACTTATTCTTTTCAGCAAGGCATTAATATACCAAGGAGGTTTAATTTTAGCCAAAAGTATAATAAACAGGATTTCAGAGTTAGTTTCCAACACAATGCCATTTAAATGTAAAGCAGTAACCATATGAAGCGGAACAAGCACAGTAGAAGTCTCAGCCTCAAGAGAGGCAAAATAAGCTATACATCTTCCATAAGCTTCTCTTATAATCCTACCCATTCCCGTATAGGCATTAGAAAAACTCCCATCAATATTAATATTAAACCAACCATGGGGGGTGGTGCCCATTTAATCGAAATGGGTTTCCTATCCTTATCCATGGTAGGAGTAACAACCTGTCTAGAGAAGGACTTCCATGCCTTATTGAAATAAGCGACCGCTAAAATGTAAGTGGTAGAGGGGGTGTGCAGTAGCTTCATATTTATGACAGTTTCTTGCCATCCATATGAACCATAAAACGATAACAGGTAAACAAAAAAACTTGTTAAAAGAGGGTTCCAAACCCTTCCAAATCTCAGTAGCAGATTTAAAGTTCAGATTAGCAGGCTAGTGTATCCCAAAACAACACCCAATATGATGCCAAACTTCTTTAGCAAAATGACACTCAAAAAATAGATGATTCAGAGATTCAACACCTTTTTTATAAATATAATAGTATGATGTAAGTTTTAGCCCTTTCAGCTTGAGAATATCATCAAGAGGTAGCAACTTATGAAAGTATCTCTAAAGGAAAAAGGATATAAATGGAGTAATGAGTTTGTGCTAGATAAAAACATGCCATTTACATGGAGCAAAAGGCTGAAGATTTGAGTAAAGCCATTTTGTGACATATGACTTAGTATGGTTCTTCCATAAAGGAAGAGCTTTATCTTGCGGTTTAACA